GCCTTTTCCTTTATTCTCTTGCTCACCCTTAGGGCCTCTTGCTAGAAGAGCGTGTGTTAAGTTTCATATCTTTGCTGTCGTCGTGTGCTGACTCAACAGATCAACAGTGTTGAGTTAGCAACTGGCCGTCAGCCCAGCGATGCTGATAAGAAGGAGATATGAAATGGAGAAAGGTTAAAAGGTAGTGTATTCAGTTGCTGCCGTTTCCTGGTCTTAATGCCACGTCGCCTTTCAGTCTGTTAGATGTCCTCAACTGTGAAGTGTGTGTATTGAACGTAATGACTGGCAGGTGGTGTGCTGAGAGTAAACAGCGTGTCTCTCAACGCTTCTTGACTGTGGCCGTTGTGTTTGTGTACGTATGATTTATCTGCTGTCTGGCTGCGTTTGGTGTTTGTGTGTGTAGTTCTAGCGGACAGTTCGGCGCTGATGTCAGAGCAGCGCAACCAGGAGGAGATGCCCCCACTTCTGCCCACCTCAAAGCTCCAACCTGCCGGTATAGTTTATCCATTGGCAACCAAGAAGCTAATACGGTTGCCACTGGCAAGTTGCACTGGCAAGGGGACCTAAACCCCCACCCTCCCCCCAACCTCCCACTTCACCCTGCTTTTGTAGTCACTGGCAAGGACGCTTACATTTTTGAGCTTCCCTCACTTCTGATGCCACCCAAGCTTTTTTTGAGGGTTCCCACTGGTTTTGGAAATTGTTGGGGATATATTTGATTTTTATGTTTGTTTATTTAGAGATTTATAGATGTTATCGACCAGAGAAGCCTTATTTAAAAAACTCAAAGGAACATCAGAGAGATTTGATTATTGGAATTCACCAATGATAATGAGTTGATTTGGTTAAAGGATAATTCTGGTTTATTACAACTTGGATCTCATTTTTGTTGTTTTTGGACATCACTCAAATTGGTAATAATATTATTGTACTAAACAAGGTAATTGCGGTATGATGACACGGAAATCACTAAAAGCAAGTAAGACAAGTTTTAGATAAACCCCTCGGGCCATGTTCTTTGCCAACCGATAATGGAGCTTGATTTGATTGTTGATGATTTGGCACAGTCTAGATTTTTTTTCAAACATAGTTTCAACTCATCAGTAGCAGGAAACAATGGCTGCTGGTCATAAACATTCTCATATTACAGATAAACGGTGAACTGACATGTGTTTCTGATAAGATTTTAGGGTTAGGCTTGATTGATAATTGATCAGCGTTTGACAGTTTCAAACTGCTTTACCTCCATATAAAGTGGTTTTGATAATAAACCGTTAGCATGCACAGATTTGACCTTTTCTCTCCTGATACCTCAGCTCAGGATATCTGCCAACACCGTCGCTGTTTTTTCCCAAATTTAAAAGCTGTATACGTCACTGCAATCAATGTCCCTGTGCGTAAAACGAGGCCACGGACTGCTGTGGCACTAAAATCGAAGTCAGCAGCCGCCTTTAGGGAATGTAACTGATAGTGAAATTTTATGTTGCCAAAGAGGATAAAACTATTCAATGGATCTGATCGGTTACGTTCTTTGATACGCGATGTGCTCAATAAGGCCTCAATAATCACTAGTTTACATTGATATGATTTTGTTACTGTTAGTAAGAAGAAGTTGTAATAAAGTGGAATATTCCTTTTACCCAGGATGCATTACTAGAATGGATTTTACAGCTTGTTTTTACGCGCTGATTGCAGATGGTCATTTCCTGCCGTGTATATCCATTATACTTTACATTGTGCGCTCACTTCCTTAAAAGCAAGACTCCACCTTTAACTGCTTCGCTACCCGGACTTCGCTGTACTCAGAACTAATTTTTCTTTTTTTAAACAGCAGGGACTTTTTTAGGTCACAGAGACACTCCTAATTATGGAAAGTCTTTTAAAAAGTTGTGGAATTTTTCATCAGGGCCACTGTGGGAACCCTGAAATTTGTGTGTGCGTGCGTGCGCGCGTGTGTGTGTGTGTGTGTGTTTCTTGGTGATCACTGCATCTATCCCCTTGTCCTCCTAATGTGACAGCTCCAGCTGGAGGAAGCTTTGCTTACTTTGCAGCTGGGTGTCCTAAACCGGCCTCCCAGTCTGACAGGCCCTGCTGCCTGTCTGGCTTCACTGGAATCCACACACACACACACACACACCATAGAGCATCAGGTTTCTCTTTGTCCTCACGTTGTCTCCCCCATTCTCGTCTCTTCTAATGCCCTACTCTCTGTTATGCTCTTTAATCTTCACTCTTAATTTATTCTCCATTTCTCTCTAACACGCCGTTCTTCTCTACAATGTTATCTCACCGCTGTCCTCTCACAAATCTTCCCCCCCTCTCTAATCTCTCCTCTCGTCTCTTGACCTCTTCTCGTCAGACACACCTGCACTACAGAACAATCTGATCTCTTTTCCTCTTTACTCCTCTCTTGTATCCTTTACCCACTCCCTCCTTCCTTCCTGAACATGCTAAGTTTTCCCCACTGGCATCACATGAGCTAATAACAAACAACGGCTTCGATCCTCTCTTTGCCGGGTGCTGCAGTTCATCAGACGAGGCTTCATTAACGTATATGAGCATTAAGAGTAGAGTAGATGTGAGCAGAGCAGGCAGTTAAATGACTTCCACATCACACAGCATCACAATCAGAGCTGTACTGATCTTGCTTCCAGCTGCCATCCTGTCCTCATGCTACCCATCTGCGCGCCTGTCATAAAACTGAACCCGCACTAACTCTTGAGTGTTGTTTATTTCCTACTAATTTTACTGATTTCTAAAGTTTCGTCTTAATTTTGTCACTTAAGTTCATTTTCTGCATGTTTGCGTGTGTGGATGATTACATGTTACGTTTCTGTCATCCTTGTTACCCATCCACGCGTTTTGTGTTTTGTTGACCATCCGTTGTGTGTTTCAGTTCCACCGCATGACGTAAAGCGCATGGCATGGAACAGCACAGGCAACAGCTCCCTCCCTGACTCTGAGCTCTCACAGTCCTCCATGCCTGCCGCTCCACTAGGGAGCAACACTGTCGCTGCTATAAACAACACTAAGCAGAGTAAGAACACAGTCTTGACTAACTGACCTCAGCTTCTCCTTGTCGTGTACACTCACTGTAGCTGCCGCACACTAAAACCTCGAGGAAAGAAAGCAGCCTGCAGATAATGTCCAGTCATTTAGTCAGGTGTTTAGTTTCAGTTAGGTGAGACAGCGTTTCCGTTTCCGTTCCGTTTTAACACTTGAAATAAGGAACTGCACGTTATCAGACCAATAACAGTTGGTTTCATGCATGTTCAGGCCTTGAAAAATCTAATAATTTTACCAAAATAGAAATCAAATGACTGGTGTTATTGTGTATATTGTTTATGGTCACCAAGTTCCATCAAAAGACCAGAACCAACAATGTTTTAATTGTCTTTATGTGTAAAAAAAAATTGTTGTATAGTTTCTATTTTCTTTCAATGTCCAGAAACATCTGGTCACTATAGTTATCTGCAAATATCACAGAAACCACAATGTTGGGGACTATTTTCAGAAGTATTTAAGGCAACAGGACGATGTATGTGGGATTGAGTCAAAATAATCTTCAGTGTCCAGGTTCATTGTTATGAGGAAACAGGTCAATGGTGCGTCTCATGTCTGTGTTATTAATAGTTTGAGACAACAATGAAGCTCTACAGCACAGAGGAGTAATATACAGGCTTTGGATTCACCAGCGCGACTTGATAGTTGGATCAGTTTGTTGTTGGTTTTGGTCTTTTCATGCAATGTTGTTGAGCAGAACAATATATTACCAGACTTTATCAGCCATGGCTTATTGTAGAAGGGAGTGTGTTTAAAACCTTTCTTGTGGTTTCATTGATCTTTTAAATCGTATGTGTGGAAAAGTTATAGACACTTCTCAGGCATCAGAATATTTCTCATTAATATTGATAAACAGTCGATTTAATTGTCTTTTTGCACTACTATGGCTTTGTTAGGTGGGAGATGGTTTTTGTCTGTTGAAATTATTCATATCCTGCTTTATTTATTAGTGAACGTGGTCAGAGGCAGCACGTTTTAATGCAGCTGTTTTTAGAAAATGAATGTTGCCTTGATAGTGACAGTGAGAGTAATTTTATGTTTCAGCTTGAAAGTTCGTTCTCAATTCCTTTTAAACCTTAACTCAAAGGCCACTGATTATCTTTTTTATCTATTATTAGCTTTCAGTTGCATCTTGTGGTCTTGAGTTGGCTCGTTGAGCAAAACTCTTGAAGTGAAGATAACATGAGATACAGTTGAAAGCTGTGGAAAAGGCAATTCATGGACCTTTTTTAGTCGAGATGTTTTTTTGTCAAACCAAGCTTATGGTGTTTACAAACAGATTTTGTTGTGTG